CCTAAGCCCCGCTAATACCTCCTTTTAAGGCCTTCCAAAAGGGAAAATTATAAAGTTATGTTCACACAATTTAAGGGGAAAAAAAATCAAATTCAGTGCTCTCATGCTGGTCTTAGAAAAATTCCAAATCTGACCCGACCAAATGAACGAAAAGAACCTAGTAACACAAGTCATGCAAAACCAGTCACGATGTGGGAAAAGAATGAGCATGATATCCTAAGCCATAGGCTTTGGGTCAAAATCTAAAGACAACAATAAGCACATTTCAGCCTCGACTATAGGGGGACCGAGTGAGTGGGACATGATTTGCCCACCAACACTATATGATTCTTTACAAACTCATGCAAAAAGAACCGCAAGTGGTGAATTTGGCAACCTCGACTGGATGGTTAATGGTAGGCAAGTACAAGCAAAAGCACCACAAACAATGAACTCCACACAAATACTTTAGCAAGGTAAGCAAGCAAAATAGCATTGTCGAAAATCACGCGTCATATTGCATTTATCAATTATATCGCTACAATATTACTCTCTCATGTGCATTTGGCGAGAGAGTTTGGCGTGCTTATTGTCTTCGTTGTGGTCCTCCGTCGCTCTTTCAAAATTGTAACTTCCACAGTGTTTTCTCTCTGCAACATCTGAATAATAATAAGCTGACTCCCTCTTCTTTTTTGGTAGGTCTATTGCTCTTCACCTCTCTGTCACAAGCTTGCCTCGGCAATCACTAGTTGTGCAAATAGGGCGATTCAAATTTCACACCATTATCAGCAATCGGATCATTTTCCTTATTGATTTTTTTGCTTTTGTGATTCGATTTAGTTCTCTGTGTAACAGGTTCTCTCCATACTTTGATTTGCGCAGTCTCGTTTGTCACCTTCCCTCTTGCATTTGGTAGTAATATTGCGAGATAGAGTAGAATCAGAGAAAGAGAGAGAAGAGTTAGATCCAACCATCATTATCGAGCACTGACTTGTGATCACCATCTATTTTTCCGGTGTAAACAGATGCGAAACCTCCTTTACCGACTCGATTGTCGCAGTTAGTCATTTGCATGATATATTCCATCGTCGTGTCGGGTTCTGGTGCTTATGATCCAAAGCTACCACGGATGTTCGAAAGTAACTCTGTCAAGTTGCCCATAGGCTTATTACGCGACAATCTCCTAATCAGAATTGTTCAAAGTCTTGTATACCTTCATTCTCCGGAACAATTGCTGCCAGATCAAACACGGCGCGTCCTTCTGTGAGACATATCTAATAACTCAACTTATGATCATAGGAAGACTTTTGCACAAGTTCACTTGAGAGATGCCTCATTTAAAGGCACGTTAATGCATGTACATTGGTTGGCAAATTTGACTGAAACGAGCATGGATCAGTTCAAACGGAAATGGCTAAACGCGCATGATATTCAATGTAGTTGAGTATCGATTGGCTCCATTTATTTCGTGAAAAATAACTAATTTGAAAAATATTCTCCAAAAAATGATAGCTCATATCGCTAACAAAAATGAATAAACAAAAAATATTTTCATCATCTAGGCAAATGTTTAGACACAAATTGTTATCGGTATGTAAATATTTTCATTGATTAATTATTTCAAGTAATACATGCAATCTTATTTAGGATAATATTGTCTAAATCACTCATTTTTCGCGAAATAAAGTTTCTGGCTTTTTTTTTTTGGCCCACGCACGCACAAGATTCTATTACCTAAACTTCGGACTAATTAAATCAAATACATTAACCCCCAAAAAGAAAAAATTCAGCAGTTCCAAACGAAGTTCTAAAATAGCATGACAATGCACGTTAGGCCTAGGGTGCATTTGTTTCGCAGAAAGATGAACAATTTGGAAAATATTTTCCTAAAAACGATCACTTGTATCGCTTATGAAAATGAATGAATTAAAAAAAATCATCATCCATGAAATATTTAGACATAAATTGTTGTCGATAATAACAACATCTTTCATCAACTAATTATTTCAAGCAATACAAATAATTATTTTTAGGAAAATATTTCCAAACCGTTCATTTTCTATGAAACAAACGGAGCCCTAATCACCTCGTTTTTCTTAGTAAACCAGTATACTTGTTGTATCGGGTTTCGATTTCTTACCCCTATAATGTCCTTCAGTTTCTATTAATTCACGTTTTCTGATTACCTTAAATTATTTTAACAGTAATTCCGATATCAATAGAACTTATTTAGCCTAAGTTACCGAGAAACAGTCACAAAACCGATCTCCAAATATGGTTGTTTGCATTATACAAAAATGTTGTGGGTTATTTAGGTCACATGCCAGAACTATCATCCTTCTTTCTTTCACATAAATTTTGTGACTATCTATGTCGATTATATTGCAATTACGCAGTGATGAATTGGTTTTAGACATGCGACAGGAGTGTGATCTATTTTTAGTTTCGGGGCTGTCAAATAAATCTTGGATTATGCGACAAACGTGGCTTAGTTCGATCATGTGCAGCAATAGTGTTTCTCGTTCGATGCAAACAAGCGTAATAGACAAAAAAAAAATCGTACAAATGCAAACGATTTCGGGACTAAAATATCGATGTAATTTCCTTCATATTGAAATAACTCCATATATTTCTTTTGCTTCACTAGTAAAGTCCTAAGTCCAGGCGGTGGTCAAAATATGTCGCTCGTAGTTTATATGATTTAGTGAAAGTTGTTTGCCCATCATTCGGAAAAGGGAGTTGGTGGTCCAAAATGCACCGTTTTTCTCCAAAGAATAACGGTGCCCTATTATCTAATTGCCGATCCGAAAATATCCTTATTTTTCTTAACTTTAGAGCATCTTTTCACCTGGTCCTCCTCTCTGGAAGAAAGCAATTACAGAAAATTACCTATTTTTTTGTGCATGTGAGTCTTTTTGTAATGGTATATTTGTCCTTATTGTTGTCGGAGTAATTACCAAATCAATTTTAAACCTATTGTACGAATACCAATTTATTTTTAAACTTTTCAATTTCGCAAATGTAGTTCTAAACTTTTGCGCGAAATTCCAATATAATTATTCCGACCAATTATCATAGGAAATTGCCGACGCGGCGTTCAGTTATCGCTGGCCATCCTACGTGGTATGCTGATATGGATAACTTGTGGGCTAAGTCAGCGATTTCCGACGGTAATTGACTGGAAGAACTGTATTGGAATTTCATGCAAAAGTTTAGGAGTATATTGGCAAAATTGAAAAGTATAGGTACAATAGATTTAAGACTGAATTGATAACTTTCCCTATTGTTGTCCCATCTAATGCTGTGAAATATCATGCTGAAGATTGGACTAATTACATAAACAAAAAACTCCCTTTTCCTTATCAAGATCTTGATTGATGATAACCGCAACAACCATCCTCGCATATATTACTGTTTGCAAACACTAATAGTAGTGTTGGTGAACATGATCTTGGAGTTCCCCTGGGTGTGATCACCGCGACATCCGAAAGAAAAAAACAACAAATTAAGGAACGAAAATGAAAAGAATGAGAAGTGTTGAAGACTATAATCCCTGCTTGTTGTATATCCTATTTTCCATTTTAGTACATTCTGTTATTTACAGTGTTTTTCATTTAGCTAGATTATATAAGATAATGTGTGATTCACACGGTCATAAAAGAATTTAAATTCTGTCTGCTACTGATCTCCAAGAGTTGATGCAGTTGGTTTATGGATCTGCAGGGTGTTTCACGGTTCGTTGTGCCTCTGCGCTTGTGCCCTTGTATTATAAGAGGGAAAAAGAAGGCATCTGCCTATTAGGTTTAGAATTATTCGACATTGTTATACAAAGAGATTGGGGCGAGCAAAGTTGATCGGGAGCTCGAAACCCCGACCGGTCCGGGCTGACTCACTCGGCGAAGCAGCCCAAAATGTAAGGAATATCTGTGAAGGGACATTAGCTTAGCCAATAACGAAGAGGAAGGATCGATTTGACCCTCTTCGACTCCATCTCGTTTCCTCTCAAATCCTCAAATATAGGGCCGTGCAACCGAATTGGTTCTGTTCGAGATCCTTTTCGTACTGTCCTAAAAATCGGTCGAGTTCCCGATTTTAAAGGAAACTGGTCGTGTTCCCGGTTCCCAAGGAAGAAGCACCCGAGAACCGTACCGACTGACTGAATTTGAAACTGGTTTTATGAAGCCTAAAAATCCTAATTTTTCTCTTGGCATCTGTTTCTCTATTATATTCAACCTAACTTGGACACTTCACAACTCTCTCTCTCTCTCTCTCTCTCTCTCTCTCTCTCTCTCTCTCTCTCTCTCTCTCTCGACTCAACCTCCTCCTCGTTTGCTCGTGGCTCGCCCTCACTCGTTCGAGCCTCGCAACATTGCTCATCCTTGACTCGCCTTTGCTTGCTCGCTCTCGTTCACCTTTTACTTTGAACCGTTTTGTTGCTCATATTATTTTGTTGTAAAAAAATGAAACAAGAAAAAAGAACAGAAGAAAAACAGATTTTTAGGTAGACTCAAGAGCCGGACTGGAGAAGCTGATTAGTTTTAGGACAAACAGATAGGCTCCAGGTTCCAAAAACTGATAACTAATTCTAACAAGGTAGGATCTAGAATCTACCCACTATGGTACCGATTACCCTTAATCAAAGAGAAGTTCTATTTTGATTTTGTATGTGTTGGCTTTTGTTCTTATAAAGTTTAAGACATGGCATGATGCTTCTCGTATCTGATTTTATATATGCGAAGACAGAATACAAGATTTTTGCAAAATTTATTTCTACAATCAAAAAGGGCGAATCAAAAAGTGAAATTCAACCTTCTAAACTTCAGACAATGAGTTTCCGAAAGCCGACGACCAATGTTTCCAAATATATGTAATGTTTCATAGCGTCTCATCAAATTCCTTCCTATTACAGCATAAGCTAAAGACCCCTGTTTAGTAATAATATCTAAAAGGGCGATTACAGAGTACATATCCAACCTAACTTCAAGGAATGAAAATAAACTATATTAAGAAGAAAAGGCAAGTATGGGCAACACTTGACTCAAAATTTATTGGAATCACTCAATTATTTCCTCCAAAATTTACATGACTCATCGAACTTACTCTCCGATTCAACTGGCAAAACTTAGAAAAAACCATGGGTTTCTCCTTCCACACACACTCAAAAAAAACCACTCACACAACTTCAACCGCAGTACATTGCAACTTGGGTAACTTCTCAAGCATGTCGAAAGTAAGCATCGAGGCCCTCGGCTTTGCTCGCCGGACTGAGAGCCCAGCCGGGAGCGGGCTCAACGTGGAGCGGTCGCACGTGCCGAGCCACTTGGCTTGCATGTACTTGTGCTTCCTCCACGGGCCCATGTGGATCCCCTTCTCCTTCGTGCACCTCTTGGCGGCCGCGCACAGCGCCTTGATCAGCGGCCTCAGCCTCTCGGCTTTCCCGACGAAGACCTCCGGCAGCCGGCCGACCAGCCGGTTGTACCCCTTGCAGGCTCTCGCCATCTCGAACTCCGCCCGGAAATTGAGCTCGATTATCACTCTCACGGCTCCTTTCTTGGAGCTCGATTCATCCACCACTTCCAAGTACGTGTGCTCCCCTGACGACCAATTGAGTAAAGATTTCAGCAATTTGGTCAGTCCATAAAACAATATTTACTAAAATTGCAAACCCCACCCACCAGCTGGAATTGGGTGTGCCAATCAGTAATCACATTGCTATGCCAGAGTTGATAGATTTTAGTGCAATTCAAAGATAATCATTCTATGATTACCTGATGGGATAGCTGGTGAGCTCCCCCATTTGGATTTGCATATGGCACAGTTGAAGCCATTGCGCCGGAGCCGGTCACAGATGTCCCGCCGCAGGCAACTCCAGCAACCCCCCGCGGCGGATTTGAGACAATCGCATTGCGAATCGTTCCAATTTAATTCCATCAAGCATTCTTTAGTGGCTTGCCTGATTCTGGACTCGATTGAACTGGTCCGATACAGCGTCGCCTGCGAAAAGCGAGAATTGCTCACCATCAATACGCATTCATGAGCCGAAAAAAATCAATCAAAAAACTTCCGACAAGTTAATCAATCGATTCCATCAGTTACCTGAACAAGATGTTCTTGCGACTCCCAGAATGCTCTGCTCTCTTCGGCGCTGGACGACCCGCCGTCCTCCTCGCCGTCCTCCGGATCCTCGAACCCGTCGCCGGAGCCGCACGAGCTCTCCGGCGACGCCGTGCCTTCGTCCAGGAACCCGAAGAAGACGTCCAGCGACGTCTCCGGCTCGCCCGGGAACTCGGCTTTCCCGTGGAAATTCCGGTGAGCCGCCGAAGCTTCGGCCATGGACGTTTCACCGGGAATTTGGAAGGAGACCTCCTCTTTTTTCTCCGCTATCGCAAATCCTGAACCACGCGTGTCCATGTATTTATAGCGACGGTTCGGATTTTCGGTGTTCCTCGCCGGTGGGGCCCGCGTCGGTCACGAGCGCCGAACGGGCCGCCGCGAACATGGCTGCCCGTTCCGTTTCGACGTGGCGGGACGGGATTGGGAGGCAGGCGACGTGGGGGGGGTGGGGGGAGGGCTCATTGGGGGGTGGACCGGACAGCTGTGCTCCACGTAGGATTGACCAATGAGATCGAGCTCGGGGAGTTATCGCGATTGTGGATATGCTCGAATATCCTAAATTTAATTATTTTAGGCGGTTTTCGTACTGTAAAGTCTCTCGAGTTGCCACATTTTTATTGTTTATTCGCCGAAGAACAATAAAATAAAAATATATTAAAAATTTGGTGAGGTCTATCCTGATCTTTGGATTTTTGGGGGAGCCCACGTCAATCATGAAGAAAACATGGCAAGAATATTGCAAGTTGATACTAAATGTTGGGGGGGATAAAGGATTAATTTACTAAATTAATTATGAATGAGAATATGCAACAAAAAAAAAGAATATTTGTTACAGAATTGCGAATCATTATTATAAATTAACAGATTTTGTTTTCGAAAGTGCATTTTATTGTTGAGACAAACAATCATAAAGCCTTCTACTCGTATTAATCTTGGTTAGGTTAAGTTGGTCATTCTATAAGGAGAGCCTTACTCGATACTCGTGGGGAGCGATAACCAAAAAGCTCAGTTGAGTCGAAAGATTCGGAATTCTCATTAAATCAAAAAAATTGTGATGTAGTGGAAGTTTTATGTGAAAGGAAGAGCCAAGTTAATCGTCTATTTAGTGTGGAGTAAAATCTGGTGACATTTGAATAACCGAGGAATGGGGTACATACGAGAAAGATACATCTCTGCAAGAAAAGTTAAAAGAAATCAAAATATCTAATTACGGCAAGACTTATTTCAAGGCACGAATCAAAACTCTCTAAAACAAACTAAGTTTGTCAAATTTATAAGTGTGAGTACCTCTTTTTTCGATTCGACAAATGATATCGAATCAATCCTTCGTCCGACATGTCCAATCTCCAGAGATAAGTCTCCATAACCTTCTTATTTTATTATGAGGTACCACAACTTATGCTTAACCAGTTTTTTTTTTGGTCGAAATAAAATTATATTCATTACTCAAAAGGAAACGTGAGAAGTATATAGACTTTCATGACAAAGAAAATCAAAGCAGAGCAAAACCCAGACTACAAAACAAAGCCAAATCCAGAAAACAAAGAGAACAACAAAGCACCAGCAGGATTAAGCACGCATTCGTTCTATAAGAACGAATCTGTCAAGCAAAATAATCGGTTGACGATCATTGGATCTCGTATCATTATTAATCGCAAGTGATGAGCATATGCCGTAAATTCCTTCTCTAGTAATTATGGCATTGCCAGTTGGCAGTGCGCAATTAAATTTGGCTTCCTCTATATTATCGTTGTATGGAGACAACAAAAATATGTTGAATAACACAAATTTGACTTTTGAAAGAGCAAACCTTCATAGTTCAGTGAGACGCTAGAGCTCATGCGATCACCATTAAAACTAGAGACAGAGGGCCTATACACGGACAGAACATGAGGTATCAAATCCCTGAAAATATTATTAAACTCTTTGATCTAAGTCGAAAGAAAATAGCTCATATGTTTAGAACTCTATCATGAGAGTTCAAATTCTCAAATTGGAAGAAAAGATTTTCCAGATCTAGATCAGAAGAGAAGAAAAGAACAATAAAACTCCAACAAAATGAACAAGTAAGGGAGGGAAGGGTGAGACTAGCTCAAACCATCGTCCATCTCTAAAGGTTGAAGAAGACGATAGAGAGAGAAGAGAGAGGTAGAGAAAAGGACTATGCAGCTGCTTGCCATATGTTTAACCAGTTAATCATTCCATTTAATCTCCATATCTTGTGATATATCTATACCTTTTGGTTACACAGTGAATCAACAAGGGGGAAACTACCTTAATTAGTCATAAACATATTGTACAGATGCAAATTCAATCATAAACTTTCCAATTTTACCAATAGAATCATAATCATTGCACAAAATTCTAATGTAGTCTTTTCGGCCGATTTTCGCCTTAAACTACCAACATGGTGGATTGCCACGTAAGATGACAGGCAATGACTGGACTGCCACTTCAGCCATTTCCGACGAAAAATGATCTGAAGAACTACACTGGAATTTCTCATAAAGGTTCAGGACTAAATTAGCAAAACCGAAATATTTGTAACTGAATTGGTATCCGTATAATGGATTTAGACCTAATATGCTAATTTTTCTATTTAACAAGCGTAATGTCACTCTTGAAATAGGTAATTTTAAGAATTAAGATGTTGATGGATGGCTTATCCAAAATTGAGCGGGACCCCACTGTGTCCACTGGACAGAAGTAACATCCGGCTATGTTAATATAATCCTTAATTAATGAGACTTGAGGATAATCATCCACGGCATATTCCAAATCAACATTGGCGCCTGTGCTCGCAATATGACAGAAAACCCTTCCTCCCAAATTGTGCTCAGTTGATTAAATATGAATATTAATACTCACAAGTACAACATACTCATGGATCAAGAAGACAAAGATGAGGAGGGTAAATTTTTCTTCCTGCGAGTGCAATTTTTATTTCATTTTTTAGTTGATACCCTGTGATTGCCCTAGCTTTATTGGTGTTTGGGATCCCGGAAACAATCAAGTTTCAAAAACGGTGGGCAAAGGGTGGTATTGTCTGTGTATTGGATGTGTGATGAAAGGGAGAGGACGTGGTTTGGCAGGGGCGGGTCGACGAGTCGCTCAAGAATCCGAGCGGAAGTGACTCGTGCACGACCAAACTCAACCCCGGTCTTTTGCTCGCGAAATGGAAATGCCCACTTGCGGTTTGTCTGTAGACGACGTGGGATCTCGATCCATGTGAGTCTGATGCACGTGCATCGTTAGATCATATGAGTCTCACATAAGATCCGCCTCGTCTGGTACATGTGAGTTCAAAATAAAATAGAGAGAAGCTTTGTATTTTTCTTTCTTTTCTTTTTTTATCATTTGAATGTGTGTCAAGTACGAATGCCGACATTGTGGTGCGGGATGATCAACACATTTCGACATTATGAGGAGAATTTTGGCCCCCAAAAAAACAAGAACATCATGAGGAGGATATGCTTTACGGCTGACTAACTAAAGTTTTTGCATAAGTGTACCTAGTTTTCAATAATGAAAAATTTTACCCCCTATTTTCTCCGGATTAGATGTTTCTTTTGTTTTCAAGTTTTACGTCATTATCCGATTGGAGAGTACTTAGGTTGCTTAGCTAGAGAGCTTTGCAAGGGTGGAGATGACATTGTCAGCGTGGACGAAAAATGCCTCGAATTTAACCATTCTTTTTCCACAAAAAATATTAATTAGTACGGGACAATTTTAAATTTAGATGGATCTCATGCGAAATTCACGTGTTCCGAAATTTACGTCACGTTTAACTCGTGCAGGATCGGTGCGCCCGCCCGATGATACCTCGAAATGACGAGGATTTTTCCTTTGTAAGTTCTTCGTCACTCCACCCTGTTCGGTGGTGGGCTTGGAAAGGAAACGACAAGACATTACTTGTGGGAAATTCAAAAGGTACTCCAATCATATTTATACGCGCGGCACTTGGTACGCGTTTATGATATTCCACCACGTTTCTCATGAGAACATCGACATAGAGCCCGATCTTTCCATGGCCCTTTGAGGGAAGGAAAATCACAAAAAGGTGATTAGAAATTGGCCAAATTGGGTTCAAGCGAAGCAAATCTAGTGCCTTGCTAATGGCTGGCAAAATCATGGGATTTGGATCATGTTTCTTCATGAATTTTTACACTTGCGGACGTCTATTCGCCCAAGTCAACATCGTGTATCTTTTTTTTTTTTTTCCTAAGGCATCTTTGGATTATTCGCATAATCAGCGTCTAAGTGAAAAAAGGGGCATCTGAAGCGTCGTTTTGTGGACGAAAAGAGCCTGTGCAATTGAGTGGGAGCACGTAGCTTCTTCGCAACATCATGAAAAGAAAGAAGCAGAGGCATGATTAAAGGATGTCCTCTTCTAGGGTTTTACATGATTGAGGGTCATGTGTAAATTACACTAATCTGTCAATAATTCATGGTCAGTTTAAGGGGGTCTCCCTGGCTACATGTACCAATCAATTCAATTGTCATTTGTTTTGTTTATCATGTGAGGGTAGATGGATCAAATTTGCAGGTGTCTTTCACCTTCAGAAAAAAACCCAAAAAAAATAAAAATAAAAATAAAAACAAGAGATGCTTGAGTATGGCAGTTTTGTTGTTTTCCATAGGGGTCGATTCCCATTTTTGTTTGTTTTAGCAATTATTAAGATATTATTCGATGCGAACAGATATTTTAGAAATGTCGACAAATTGTGATACGTCAAGTGGAGGACGTATGTTGCCACATTGAAGTTAATTGATTCTGATTCGTAGGACATCTCCCTCCCCTCAGTCGTAAACCTATCATATGAATGTCAATTCAATCATAAACTTTTCAGTTTAATCCTAAACGTTTGCGCGAAATTTCAATGTAGTCATTCCTATCAATTTTTGCTGGAAATTGTTGAGTGTTGATCCAGTCAGTCGTGGTACGAGGCACATCGCCATGTCAGCAATTTCCAACGAAAATTTGCTGGAAAGATTACATTAGACTTTAGTGCAGAGATTTAGGATTATACTGGCCAAATTTGAAAGTTTAGAATTGGATTGGTATTCGTACAACAAATTTAGGTCTAATTAGACAATTTTCCAGAGATAATTATAAAAAAAATGTGCACGTTAATGCAAGCCAATCTTTAATAGAAATCGATTATGTGGACGCCAGCCATCCTATGTGACATAGTCGGTGCTGACGTACACATTTTTTTAGTAATTTTTTTCGAAGTTTTTTATAATTTTGTGGTTCTTTCTTTTCTTTTTTGGTTTTCCTTTCTTTACTTTTTTTTATTGAGGGTTGGCAA